ACGTCAGTGACGCGGTTTAATCGGGCGCGCTTTAGTGGAGCGCAGTTTTGTCGTGCCACGCTTTTTTTAATGCCACTTAAGCTCGCTTTTGCATGTCAGCAGAAAAGCCAACTAGAAAAATACTTAATGAACTGTGTTGTTTCAATATAACTGGCTATACTGTACAAATATTTTAAATAAAAAAAAATTCTAGAAACATATCTAATAACACAGCAGTTAAAAGCCAATATTTGTTTTACAAAAGTACTTGCTTAATTTATTTTTGTAATTAATATAAAACCTGTCGATTATTGTCCTTTTGGTTGTTCTAAGAGAAAAAAACCTATAAAGATACTTGATTTGAGTCATAAAAGTAGATTTCCTCGATTTACCAAATAGATAACTCAATTCTATATTCATAAACTTAAACGGGTTAAGTAAAGATCTGGCAGGCACTATGACACGGCATACTAAATCATCAGGATTAGGTAATGGTTAGATTTTTACTTTAGCAACTTCACTGTATTTGGTAAGTTTATGAATCAATATGTTAAAGCCAAGTCAAAAAAACAAACTAATGGAGCAACTAAGTCAAACATGTTGGATAAATGCAGGCTGTATCAAACAGTTGAGAATTTAGCTAACAATACCGTTAAATTCATACAGACCTCACTCCATTATATTGGCTGGTTATTTTTTGGAGAATAATTCTGGTGTTTTGAAGTATCAAAAAAAGCTGGTTTCATACAACATGCTATACCAGAAATCATGGTTTGCAAAGCATAAATAATGAAAAAACATACTAGGCTAAGACCAAACAAACCACATTGTGCCTGTTTCCTAGGCTAAATAATTAATTATGAAAAACCAATGGTTTAAACACATGTCCCCAATCCAATGTCCTGAAGATATATGGAGACTGACACAATCCATATACTGTATTGGGATTGAACTCCCAGAATTCCTAGCCAATTTTTCCTAGCCTAACCTGTGTTAGAACAGGAAGTTGCAGGCCTATCAAATCTGAAGGGCATCAGATTGAAGAAGGCTAATCTAACACAACATTTCTGATTTACTTAAGTTCTAAATTTAAGTTGCCTCCTAAAAGAGAGTGAAAGAGCCGAGGTGGTGCAGTGGTTAAATGCAGCACTGCAGGCTACTTCAGCTGACTGCAGTTCTGCAGTTCGGCT